GAAATACATCCTTAAGTTTGGTAGTCATCCAATAAACCCGAAGCAGGCATGAGCTACACAACCGGGAAAACTTGTTACACCACGGTACTATTTGAGGACAAACCAGTGAAAGCACTCCTAGATATTGGAGCCTTTTGTTCTTGTACCAGTAGTAAATTCTTAGACCAAGTGTACCCCTCGTGGAAGGATAATTTGCTTCCTACACCAAGAGCCAAATTTAGTAGTTGCAATTCAGCTATGAAGACTTTAGGAGTAGTGATCATGCCCCTTGTCTTCCCTCATTCTAAAGGATCCTTGCGCCTCACCATAGAATTTGTAGTACTCAGTGACGCCTTATGTGACTACTTAATATTGGGAAATGATACCTTTTGCCTTTATGGTATTGATATCTTTCAAAGCAAAAGTAGATTTTACACTATAGGTGGTGACTGGAAGAAAAAGTACCAGATTTGTAATGTACATATTTCCCTCCCTTATGCTCCATCTGTAGAGGAAATAAGAGACTTCAAAGAACTTAATACTTTCAACACTGAGTATCTGTCGCAGTCCTCTGTGAGTGATACATTGACTGAAGATCAAAAGCTAGATGTGTTGAAAGTCTGCTACAATTACCAAGAGGCTTTCTGCACTACTGAACACCCCATTGGAAATGTTCAGGGCCATGACATAAAAATAGAACTCACATGTGGGACGCCCTATCCACCAATGCTCCGTAAAGCGCCCTATCCCTCCAGCCCCAAGTCTAGGGAAGCACTGGAAACCCATATCAAAGAGCTTCTTGATTTAAAGGTGTTACGAAAAGTAGGCCATAATGAACAAGTGGAGATCACGACCCCTGTCATTATAGCCTGGCATAATAACAAGTCTAGGATGGTAGGAGACTTCAGAGCTCTCAATAACCACACTAAAGCAGATTATTATCCTATACCAAGGATAGACCATGCTTTGCATAATCTCTCCAAAGCTAAATACATCACGACAATGGATGTGCTTAAAGGGTTCCACCAAATACCGATAGAACCTAATAGTAGGAAGTTTATGAGGATTATTTGGCACTTAGGTGTTTATGAATACCTTAGGATGCCATTTGGGAGTAAGAATGCGCCTTCCCACTTCCAAAGAATGATGGATAGTATTTTTGGTTCCTTCATTAGGCAAAACTGGATGATGGTGTATATTGATGATATCATTATCTACTCTGAAGATTGGGGAACACATATTGAAAAGATTGCTACAGTGCTTAAAACTGCTGCTACAGCTGGACTAAAAATGTCAATGAAGAAGTGCAGCTTTGAATATAGTGAACTGAAAGCACTAGGCCATATTGTTTCTGGACTAACCTTAGCCATAGATCAGAATAGAGTAGCCGCAGTGTTACAGAAACCCATGCCTCAGAATGTCACAGAAATGCAATCATTCCTAGGATTCTGTAATTATTACAGACAGCACATTCCTCAATTTGCCATTATCACCAAAAGTTTGTATGAGATATGTACTCCTAAGGTCATCTTTGAAATGACGTATCATAGAGTTAAAGATTACGAGAAACTCAGAGAGCTTGTTACCTCTGCACCAGTATTGGCCCAACCTGATTACTCTAAACCTTTTATTCTATACATTGACGCCTGTATGGATGGATTAGGAGCTGCATTGCATCAGATTTTTGAGGAGCAAGGTATTCCCATTGAGAAACCTATATTGTTCATCTTGAGGCAAGTTAAAAACTCCGAGAAAAGATATGGTGCAAGCCAAATGGAATGTTTAGCTCTAATATGGGCTTTAGAGAAGCTACATTACTACTTGGAAGGTTGTAAAGTTTTAGTCATTACTGATTGTACAGCGGTCACAACCTTGATGAACATGAAAACACCCAATAGACACATGCTTAGGTGGCAGATTGCTATCCAACAGTACAGAAACCTTATGACCATTAGGCACAAACCAGGAGCTAAACACCAGAATGCGGATGCCTTGAGTAGGTGGGCTTTACCTAATACTCCAGAGAACCCTGCATGGGATCCTGAGGAAATTAGTGATTTCCCTATTCTTGGTATTCATGCCTGTGACCTAGACGAAGCCTTCTACTCAGCAGTTAGAGATAGTTATGCTAGCGTACCTGAACTCTTGAAGCTAGTAGATATCCTTTCCAATAAAAATGCTCCTCATGAACTTATAGCCAGCCTACCCCTTTGGTTATCCAAACCATACCACGAAGGAAAATTTACATTGTTAGATGGGTTATTATATTATAGGAATACTCACTCTAGTGTATTGGTACTATGTGATGAAGCCCAAATCAGCTCTATCTTGCAGGAGTGTCATGACAGTGCCAGTGCAGGACATTTTTCAGAAGAAAGGACTATTGAAAGGATTAGTCAGACTGCCTGGTGGAAAGACTTTAAAGAACAGGTACACAAGTACGTATCCTCCTGTAACCCCTGTCAGACAGGAAATAAGCAGACAGGGAAAAGATTTGGACTTCTCCAGAAGATAGCTGAACCTAAGTCCAGGTGGGAAGTCATTAACATGGACTTTGTTATGGGTCTACCCCCAGGAGGAGCTTACTCATATAACTCAGTACTAGTGGTGGTGGACAGATTTTCTAAAAGAGCTAGATTTATCCCTAACCACAAAGATGATACTGCAATGGAGGTAGCCCTGCTATTTTGGAACCGTATTATGGCAGATGTGGGGATTCCTAAAATCATAATTAGTGATAGAGACCCTAAGTTTACCTCTGAGTTTTGGAGAAATTTACATGATATGCTAGGTACCAAGCTAGCCTTTTCAACTGCTTATCACCCGCAGACTGATGGATTGGCGGAAAGAATGATCCAAACCCTAGAAGATATGCTTAGGAGATTTTGTGCTTTTGGGTTAGATTACAAAAATGCTGATGGGTATACTCACGACTGGGTCAGCCTACTTCCAGCTCTGGAAATAGCCTATAACAGCAGCAAGCACTCTTCTGCCAAGGAAGTACCATACGTCTTAGAAAGAGGGTGGATACCCAGAATGCCTAAAGACACTCTTAACGCACAACTCCCTCATGTGCATCCCACAGCCTTGGATTTTAAGAAAATGTTGGATGCCGCCAATGCACATGCCGCTGAATGTGTCCAACAAGCAGCAGAGTATAGTAAAGCCAGGTGGGATAAAAGTCACAAAGAACCCAACTTCAAGATTGGAGATTTAGTCCTCTTATCCACGGTTAACTTCAATAATTTAGGAGGCAACAAGAAACTCAAACCTTCCTTTGTAGGACCATTCCCCATTAAAGCGCTGCACGGGAAGAATGCTGTAGAAGTTATACTAAGTGATAAATTGTCCAGGAAACATCCTGTATTCCCGGTAAGCCTCATTAAGCATTACCATAGGAGGACAGATGAAGCACCTCATCCAGTTTCTGATTTCCCCATTCAAGAACCAGAACCTACTTCCAAGCTCTCAGTATCTAGAATCCTCAAAGATAAAAAAGAAAGGATTAATGGTAAGGACACCAGATTGTACTTAGTCAGATACAAGAATGCTACAGCAGACCAGGACGAATGGTTACCAGAATCCAACATCCCAGATGGACCAGTCCACCTCAGGAATTACAGAGCTAATAAAAGGAAGGATTAGTTTTTTCGCTTTTTTTATTATTCCTCTTGTTTTGAGTTTTTCTCTTTGCATTCTTTACAGTGATGTTTTTGATATTTTTGCAATATACAGTTCTTTCTCTTTGCCTTTTTGAGGGGCTCTAATTTTGTTGGGGGGGAAATGTCAGCTTGTCACTGAGAAAGCAGGACAATCTGTCTGAGTTTTTAGGAATTTAGTTTTAACTTTTAAAAACAATTATTAAATTTACATGGTCCATAATTTAGTAAAAGAATAAATAACTATCAATGACCCAAAACATTAGGAATGCGCGTCAGAGAGTCCGCAGCAGTAGTACACTTTACACCTGCGTCATCTCCAACGCTATTCCTTGAGCTGTGACACCTTGTTTCTCAAGATGTCACACACTTCAGAACGATGGCTGAGGTCGACATCGCTAGTCATGACCTCATGACACTACAAGCAATACCCATTTTGCCCCAAAAATAAATGGCAAGTTGGGTGGGGGAAAATGGATCAATTTTCTGGAAACTTTTTCCAAAATTCCTCAGGAGTAGAAATTAGGATAAACTGAGCTATTTTAGCCCAATGATAGAAATTCATCAAACATTCCAAAATGAATTTTTAGCTCATTTGAGACATTTTTATTTTTTGGCTAAAATAGCTTATTTTAGCCTAGTTTTTTACTCCTGAGGCATCTTGTAAAAAAAGTGCCAGAAAATTGATCTATTTTCCACCATCCAAATTGCCATTTTTCCTTGGGGCAAAATCAGTATTGTTTGTAGTGTGACCAAGGAAACAGTTAAGACAGAACCTAAACAAGAATCGACTTCCCATACGCTATTGGTACCGGCCCCGATGAGGATAAAAGCCAGCTCAGGTCAGTGAATATTGAGCATCGATTATCCATTTTTTCCTTTCCAGAACCAACCTGTAAACAACCCTTCCCCTCACCTCACTGACCTCTCGCCCTCCTCTATAAACCACAAAACCCGGAACACCAAACCACCAAAACGATACCTTTGAACCACAAGCAGACTCTCCGTGCTCGCTAATAAGGCTTCGTTATCTTTGGACTCCACCGCCGCCTGAGCTTCGAACCGCTTCGTACTTGAGGGGACTCAGACTCAAGTAAGTAACCTTCCTAGCTCTAGAACCTATCCCTCCACCTTCCGATACGCGGACTGAATACCCTTGCTTCTTGCCGAGACCCCGCCAAAGCCGCCACCAGTCGTCATATTAGACTTAGGCTCGTATCCCAGAGGGCACCGTAAACACCCCCATAACCTGGGCCCCTCTTTAATCCTTTTTCATCCTAAATATTATACCAAACCACCCCATCACCTGGTGTAGCTAGAAGACTCAGAGTCTTGGTATCACCACGGCTGACATTAGACGACATGCTTCTCACTGGTGCTTTCATCTTTGTGATGATGGTGTTGTATGTTGATGGGAAATCCAAGTTACCCAAAGACCAATTCACCTGTCCTTCTGGTCTTGCTGCAAAATGTGTTGGAAGTTCTGGTACGCTAGAATTGTCAGCCACAGAGTACATGTCACAGTACCTTTCATGTACCAAGTAACTGCAACACCTGTACTTATGTACATAAGTACTTATCCATAATGTTGATTACCTTTACCTCTTGTTATCTTATCTCTATTATTAACTTATCTTATTTATCTTACAGTTATCTTATCTGTTAATTACTTATCTATTAAATACATACCTGTGTTCTACATAAGTAATTATCACTTACCTTTCACTCCCTTGTCCGTGAAATACCTGTACCACAAGTTATCCCTCTGCTACAGTATTTTCACGGTCAAATATTATTACAAATAAATATGTACATGTACTAAATAGTAAGTATTAAGTGTCAATAGAATTAATACATTCAATACATGTACTGATCACAATTATGACTACATTATTAGAGGATCTGTCAAGTGCACGCATCAAGAGCAACTAGTACATTGATCAACTAGTACACAATTATGATGTCACTTACAGATCATGACAAATAATGATCAGTCACTCAATTGATGTGCTCATTCTCCTGGCCAAAGCTCCCTTGATTCTGAGCGCTCATTCTTTCCCTCCTTCAATATTCTGGAACTTATAATCCGTGCCTCTTTCACTGATTAATCCCCAGAATATTCAGACACCAGTTAAACCAGTTAACATTTATATTGATACAGTACCCGTAACCAACATAAATCTTGTCTACCTTTATTGTTCTTAAGCTTCAGTACTCTTACTCAACTTATCCACAGTATTCATAGCCTTGCTGAATATTCCCATCAACAATACCTGTTAATCTTCAACTAATTTTGTTAAAGCTTAATAAGTATTGTTAGCCCATTCCCTTTGGGGAATAACCAAATCAATCCCAGGTGAGTCTTAGTACCCTGGATGCCTATTAATACTCTGTATTGATCCGGATGCGCTGTTGATAGCAAGCCTCTCAGTAAAGACCATACTGATAGAGTGAAACCTCCTCTTTACAGGACTGGTATTAATCACCCACTACCTAACACTCACCACGCTCAAAAACTTCAGTCAACTCATAGTAACAACCTTCTTACTATTAAATACTCAGGTTAGTTACCCAGAGGCTGACAAGAATCCTCCCCAGATTATTGCTTGAATCAATCATGGTTGTCTTATAAGCATCTCTTTCTCTTGTGATGACTAATTACCGACTCTCCAATTGACTGGCTGTTTTGTTTCAATTATGTAGGCCCCATAGATCCAACTGAAGTAAAGGGTAAAAAAGGAGTTTATAAATGTGATCTTGCAGTATCTGGTATGGCATGTTGTTCAGGGGGCACTGTAAGTTACCAACACTTACAATCATACCTTTTCCACATCCAATCTAGAAAAATTGATTGATTTGATTCCCATTTTTAACAAAAAAGTGTATGAATCCACAATCTTGAAAGATCTATCAAGGTTGTGGCTTTTTAGCCTCTCCTCCACGGGCCATATGCCTTAGAAGGAATCCTCAATTACAAAACAAAATTGGATTTTATCTAGTTTAATTTTTTTGAACTTATTTGCTTTCATTCATATCTTTTTTTACTCTGGTGGATCTCATCATGTTTAGAACATGAAGATACTAATTTTTTTGTATCATTAGTTCAGAATAATGAAACAAAAAAATACACAGATTGGTTCACTTCATCAAAATTGGGGTTGCTGAGAACAGAGTTAGGAATCTGGTGATGTAAACTATCAACTGACAAAAACTGTACAATACCCCCCCTAATTACCAACAACATCATTAAAGACACTAGAGTGGTCTGTACCGGCACAGTGGCAAGCTGCGGGCCCGGGTTGGATTTGATGTGATCAAAACTCTGCTACATAGTTTGATTTGTACGTTGTTGGCTGGACTACAGCAAACAACTCTCTCAAAGATTCGGCAAAAACACCATGAATCTCCATTGACGTCAAAAAGACATCAGTCCGGGCGGCGACGAGGCACGTTGGTGGCCCGGATGTTAGTTGTGAATTGAATCTGGGCTTTGTGATGTGGTGGGTTGTAGAGCCTGTACCTGCAACGTTACCAGGGATCAGGACTTCTCCCGAGCGGGCTGGCTATAAGGGTCTGCACTGACTTGCTGAAGAAAGCCGGAACGAGATTAAGGTCAAGTGACCCCTCCAATTTATCCCAACCGGCCCATGATCAAAAGCTAGTCACAATATGAGCTGTGACCTACGTTGTGGAAATTTGTTTTTGACAGCAACTGGAGTTTGGGGTGTCCTTAGTAAATCATTTTTTTTTGAAAGTTGCTAGTCGATGACCCCAATAACTTATAAACCAGTTGGTGGAAACAATTTGAATTTTGTATGATGAGGGTAGACTTCTCAATTGAAAAAACAACCCTGCAATTAGCGTCTGTCTCATTAATCAAAGTGTTTGATCCTTGAACATTAAATCACCACACACTTGCCAAGATTGATTCCTTCAAAATCCACGTCAGGATGATTAATTTTGGACTGAACGGCTTGGGATGGATGTCAACCGGGATTGGGAGTTATGGATGGTTTCCCCGTTCACTCCAGTTCCCAGGTAGATTGCAGTGTAGGCCGGGGCAAGTCAAGATAACCACCGGAGTCAGTTGAGCAGACATTTTGTGTACGGTGTCAGCGCTAACATAACTTCATAAATTAACTGTGTTTTTTTTTGAGGTAACCGAAGCAAGCGTTCTTCTTGATCACAGTCTCTAATGAAGTCTCGGGATTGGCTGTGAAGGACTGTTCTTAGTGAAGACTTTTGTGCTCGCCGAGGTTGGGAGTTGAAGCTACTAGGGATTCAAGCTTAATTCTTGGTTCCCTTGACAACAAGATTCTTGAATTGAGGGGCCCAATTTGATTGAGACAAAGCACTCAAAAGTTGTGAGCAACTTCCTCTAAAAGTACCTGTTTAGCTACTCTTACACTGCAATGACAGTGGATGACTTCCCCTCGCGGTTCACAACCCTCCCAGAATTTGATTTACACCCCCAAGATCTTAATTTTTGATATAAAAAAAATATTTTTTCATAAGCTTTGGGAAGATAGATCTCATGTGAGCTGGTTGGAATTATGATTGAGGTGTAAATTTAGGACTGGGGAGGACTTAAAAAGCACTCTAAATAGCCAATCTAGACCCAAAAACTATTATTTCTCGCAGAGAAATTTGAATTTAGAGGCCCTAAACCGGCTCTGGGAGAGCCGCAGATGTTGACAGGAATTTGTCCAGTGGATGACTTCCCGTCGGCATTTACAACCCTCACAGAATTTGATTTACACCATGAAGGTCTTAATTTTTGGCAGAAAAAAAATCTTTCTTCAGAAGCCTTGTAGTAAAGGCCCTCATGTGAGCTAGTTGTATTTGTGATCAGAGTGTTAATTTAGAACTGAGAGAGGTCTAAAAAACGCTCTAAACCGCAACGGGAAGTCCTCCAGTATTGACATAAAAAGGGTTGCTTGAATCTTCTTTGTCCCCATGAAACCAACATATCCAATCAAAAGTATTAGACCATCATCATCATCTACATAAAGCTTTCGATAACACGGCTTGACTTGCTAGAAGTAGTCTTGATTCTACATATCGATCATCCCAATTTTTTGGATAACTGTAACCCTTGTACTTTGACAAAATGCTCTTTACCGGTGCTTTCATGTTTACGCTGTTGGTTTTAGTTGTTAATGCGAAAACCAAGTTAAAAGCAGGTGAATTCACCTGTCCCTCTGGTACCACTGCAACATGTGATGGCACTAATGGTAAGCTATGATTATCGCCCATTGTACTCAACTCATCAATTAGTTAGATTGACTTGCTTACTGATTTTTCCTCCTTTTTTTCTTAGGCCCCAAAGCTGCAATTACAGTAGATCCTAAGAAAAGAATTTATAAATGCAGTGATACTGTGAACTACTCTGGTTCCTGTTGTACAGCAAGCAATGTAAGTCACGCTGGAAATGATTTTGATCAACATCTAATGTAGATAAATTAAGGGCTAATAAATCATTTTCTTCATCACTTCTTACATCCATTTGTTGCTTTTTGTTTGAAAAAAAAAGTGTTCAAATGGGCAAACTTCTTAAGGAAAATTTGGAGTCAACCTCCCTCCCATAATTCTTTTCTAATTTTGTTTTTTGCTGTGTTGGATCATCAATATCAATATGTACTAGATCAACAAGATTCTTGAAAGAGTTTGATGAAGCGAATCTTGTAACTTTTAAGCATCTTTTGTGATATTCCAAAGTTTTCAAATATTCTGGCCACTTAAAATATGTTGAAACTGAGATTCAAATCACAAGAATGTGGTTTTGTAAATTGCTTGAAGTGCTGATTAACAAACTAGCACCATAATACGCTGGTTTGCGGTTATGTAGTATCCCTGTACTTGAGCTGGGATGCAACCAAGTCAAAATCCAACGATCTCATTAACAACCCACTCTGACTCATGTATGATTGCATGGACCTGATCCATCGACCCGTTTATGTACGACCGATGCGTCGCTTCAACATTGACTTCGAGTCTTCCGCGCCCTTGTCTTCTTGCACTCCCACTTCTGCGGCACCATGCACCCGAACTTTACGGCCGGAGTGACAGAAAATGGCGCGTCGTTGTCTCAGATCACATCGGCCCTAAATCAGCTCTTTCCCTGAAATTTCAAGGAGATCTATATAGGACGTTATACGTTTGCTCCATGCATAGATATCGCGTTTAACAAGCTTCTGATCATGGAGGCGATGGTCGGATCGAGACAGTCCGGACTCCGAGCCAGCGCACCCAGCTCTCGACTCTAGCGACATGCTCATGGCCGCACAGTATGGCTTTTGATTTATACATCGATCACCGCAGTGAGCTTCCCCTCTCTATACCCATGATCATAGCCTCCAACCGCATGTAACCTTATTTACGAATTTCCCACCCAGGCAATTTAGGTATGGAAGTCCAGCCTGTCAGTTTTGTTATATGTAAACACATACCCAACGACTGCGTTCTCTTATAAAACACCGCCCTCTCCCTGGGCCCCTGGAATGGAGGATACCCCTTTGCCCATACACTGTCTCCCCCATATTCTCTTGAAAATATAACCTGCTGCAAACTCGAAATCGCTTTCACCCCCAGCTCCAACCAAATTCAGTCACACTAGAGTTATAATCTATTCTTCAAGAATAAGGAAATCATGGACGGTTGCAAGCAAATCTCTACTCAACCCGCTGGCTCTGGACAAATGAGTATCAGCAATGCCGACCCCGGCCTCGGTAAGCAGCAGCACCTACAGACGACACCTTTTCGTTCTTCAGTTACGTCTGTTCATCCGAAAAAAAAAACGGCCTCCTAATATTTGAGCTCTTGTTTTGTTCAACTTGCAGAATCGCAACAAGCAGTGACCGAGACCGGCGGGTCATCTAAACCAATAGCCCGCGGCCCGCTGTCGAAAGCCGTCCTGCGGATGCGCGGCGGCGAGGGCCACCATTGCATCGCCGAATGCTGCTGGTCCGTCTCCCCGTTCCCAGTTCTCTCCAATCCTCTCATCACCCCGCACTGCATCCCACTGACTATTACTCCAACCCTGAAAATCCCTCGTAACCGGCCCGGGTTCGTGTGAAACACAATATGATGTCCATGCTTTTTTTCAGCTGTCTCTGCATCTGCTGTGGTACGTCATACACACATCCCCTGTTTTTTTCGAGTCGAAAGGTGCTCACATATCACTGCTTTCCACTCTTGATACGTTGCACCCATCATCACTGATCCCGGATACCCAGGAATCGAAGAGCTGTTATGCATCGAAGCGATCGACGACTGTTTTGGGATGTGTTGCTAGGCCTCGAGAGACCCGGCCAGCCCCCCCTGATGTGTCTCCATATTTATCCGCCCATCGTCGGCCGTCTAGTCGTGTTGTACTGCCCGCTCTTGATTCCTGCTTCTTGCTTTATCTGCTTGTACCAACCCCGTCGATGTGATCAGCTAGGTATAGGATGTGGATGCCTTTGCTCACAACGCAGGCCCAAAACTTGGCCTTGTCCTGTCGACACATGTTGTAATGTCGTCCGGCTCAAGCGAAAGCAATCCATGTGTCTCTGCACAGGCTACTCAGTAGCTCTTGGGTGCGCTTTGAGGAAGCAAGACCGACCGCTTGCCTTTGTGAACATCCATAGATCCCTGTATTGGGAAATAGTGCCTATGTATGCGTTCAACGTGAAAATGTCATGGTACATGATATGCTTGCACAGCACTTGGTCTTGGACAGCATGCATGATGATGGATAACACGGGCATGGATCGTCACTATCTTGCAACTCCCGCGCTCACATTGCCTTCGACTCTCAAGGCTGACAAGCGGTGAGAAGGAAGTAGCTGCTCAAGAACCGGACATTGCAGGGCCGCTCTTCCTTTGGTTGGACCAGTCTCATTTGACTCTCGTCTCGTCTTATCATGAGAGTTCAACTTTCTGTTCGGTGTGCTCTGATTTATTACAATTGGATTAGTTTGATGTACAAAAAGAATGATCTATGTAAATATGTGTGTTGTTTTTGTGGGGCCTTTATAAAGTACGCGAAATGGACATGATAAGAATAGATGATCAAGCCAAGCGCGTCAGTCGCGCGACATATGGAGCAGTGGAGGAGGAAAAAGAAAGTTGCTGTCGATGCGGATCGAGGGTGGGGTGAGAAGGAAAAGAGAGAGAGAGAGATAAGGGAGGGCTCTAGATCCCGATTCCTCCTCCTACGCCTATCCCAATTCCAACCTAAAGAAAGGGAACAGCCGGTTGGGTTTGATCAGTTACCGCAATAGGAATGACTGATGCTGGTTCGCAAAGTAAATGGTACTTACACCTAGGCCAATACCTCCACCATAACCTCCACCATAGCCTCCACCGTAGCCTCCACCGTAGCCTCCACCGTAGCCTCCACCATATCCTCCTCCACCGTAGCCTCCTCCATATCCTCCGCCATAGCCTCCACCATAACCTCTGCCATAGCCTCCACCGTATCCATAACCTCGCCCATAACCTCCTCCATAACCTCGCCCATAACCTCCTCCATAACCTCCTCCATGATGCTGTGTGGAATGAGAGAATGAATATCCAATGGTCAGCGTTCCTGGAGAGATATGCTCTTGGACCAGGTCTTTTCACGTACGAGTAATCCAAAGGTAGGGATGGCGATGACCGTTTGAAGACCAATGATTGGGCTAACAATCAAGAGCAGGAAGAAAGTCTTGCATTGCATCTTGGGCTGCTGTTTGCAGGGGTCTGGAACTCTTTGGTTTTGTCGGGTCGGTGTGTTGGTGAGCCGGGATGTTGTGGGGTTCAAAAAAAAAGCGGTTTGGCTGGATGGATAGTGGATTTGCGGAGGTGCTGAGGAGCTGTGTTGGGTTGAGGCTCGAAGGAAAGAATGTGATGGGTTAGGATCGATAGCATCCCCACGGCCAACCTTTATATATACCTTTGTTCCAGCTGCTCTAGTATGTACTCCTACCATCAGCACCAGGAAGGAAAAAAAAAAACACACATGGGCTTGACCAGGTCTGACAGACTCTGTTGGCTGGTTCAGCACGACGTTCTAATTAGCCGGTTTGGATCAGTGCTGCCGCCAGGGGCCCGGATGACAACCGGACATGAAAACACTCTCAGTAAAGCCGGACCGTAAACACTTGTTCTTGTCTGCAAACAAACTTGGCCTTGGCCCTTGGTGGTGTGCCCTCAGGCTGTACCCGTCCGGGGGTATCCTCGGCCGTGTCACTTGCACATAATCCTTTGCAGGATGTCCAGATGATGTGCTGGTTGACTGGCTTGACCGCTGCGATTTCGGCCTTTGTTCTTCTCTCTTCATTTACGTGGTTCGAAAAAAAGATTGAGGTTGTTGTTGTAGGAAATATGAGGTCTTATATTACTTTATAGAAACTTTCAATAAATGCTAATAGTAGTAAAAACAACTAAAGAGAGTTCACAAAGATAGAAGAGATCATTAGCAATGAAAAGAGAGTAAAGATAAGAAAAGGTCAAAAAACAACTAGATAAATGAGTGAAAATAGTTGATATTTACCTTCTTATAGTTGGATCCTTGTAAGTACTCTTATAAGACACGACACAATTTGGAGAAATAGACGGAACACAAAAAACAAGCCTGAAAGAAAGAAATAGAGAAGAAATAGAAATAGAAGCAGCTCTGAGATCAGGATCCAGGTCGGCGTCATTGAGAAATGAGAAAAAACTGTTCTACCTCCACCTGTTTTGCGTCCTAGCTCCTCCTGAGTGAAGTTGATCTGAGAGAGTAGATGGTTCGGATCGAACGTGCAGTTTAGGTGTATGATCGAAAGTGGATTAAGGGATTTGTCGATAGGGTAAGTGATGAGCGGAATCTTCGTCTTGAGGTTGAGGAAAAAAGGATTCGAGTCGCTTGCCGAGTCAGTCGAAGGAAGTACTCGCTTCACTTTGAATTCGTGTGACATCTGATTGACACATTTGAAATTCTCAGACGTCGACCGGATCGGTCAGGATTATTCATCCAACACTCCTCCTTAATTCTGACTTAGTTAGATGCAGTTGTTCTCGAGCTAGCTCCAATTTGATAAAACCTAGTGGCTTGGTTAAACCATCAGCAATCATGTCGTGGGTCGAAACTTGAATAATGATAATTTGCTTCTTCAAGACTAATTCCAGAACATATTGAAAGCGGACTTCAATATGCTTAGTATTCTCGTTCAACTTGGATTCCTTACTGATAGAAATTGCACCGGAGTTGTCATTTTTTAAAACTGGAGCTTTGATCTTGATCTTCAGATTCAGGATGAGATTGGTGAGCCATCGGAGTTGTTTTGCGCATCTGTTCATGGCTACAAACTCCGCTTCGGTGGTAGATTGGGCAACCACGGGTTGTTTCTTGGTCGACCAACAAATGGGATTCCCGTAAAGTGAAATGATGTATCCTGAGGTTGATTTCTTAGACACCAATGAGGATGCATAGTCTGCATCTGCCCAGCCACACAGACCTTCCTCAGGATCAGAGGTACGGGTATAGTGAATACCAAAAGTAGGGGTTCCCTTGAGATAACGCAACATATGTTTTACTGCAGACCAATGGGCTTCTGTTGGACTGCTGGTGAATTGAGCGAGTAGATTGGTGGCAAAGGTGATATCAGGTCTTGTGTGCAGAGCGAGATAGTTTAACATTCCGATTGCCTTCTGAAATAGCTTCTGGTGGAAACTGGGAGAGTCACTAGCAACAATCTTGTGAAGATCAACGGGTGCCGGCGCTCTGACTGGATTCGAGTCGTGCATGTTAAAGTCAAAAAGAATTTTCTTGGTGAAGTCAGCTTGATTGACATGTACCGAGCCATCCTCCTTCCAGTCAAGTGTATAACCCAAATGTTGCGTGGGATATTCTTTGATTTTTATACTGTAAGTAGCCTTGATATCATCGAGCAGTTGAACGACAGACGAGCGATTCTTTCCAATGATGAAGCCATCATCGACATGCATGTGAAGAAAGATGGAGCGATCGGAGTTGTAAAACAAGGATTCATCGAGGGGAGCAGAGTCCAGACCAATAGCCGTAAGAGTTGCCACCAAGTGCTTTCGCCATTGACGTGGTGCCTGCTTCGTGCCATACAACGACTTGTTCAGCTTCCACACCCAATTTTCCTTTCCAGGTTCTTCAAACCCCTCGACTTGAGAGACATAGACCGGAGCATCTATTTCGCCGTAGAGGAACGCCGTTTCGACATCAAACTGGAAAACAGCCCAGCTCCGATTTACCGCAATTGATAGGAGTAGTTTGAATGATTCATTCCGAGCCACAGAAGCATAGGTGTCAAAATAATGCATCATGTGAACCTGATGATTCCCGAAACACACCCAGCGTGCCTTGAAACGGAGGAGTTCACCGAATTCGTTCTTCTTCCTCCCAAGTAGCCACATTCCACCAATGACTTTGTTGTCGCCGGGGGGAGGCACAAGTGTACCCGTGTTGTTCGAGGTCAGAGAGTTGTACTCTTTTGCCATGGCTTCTTGCCAACCCGAGCGTTCTTGCTGATCGGACAAAGCTTCCTTGAGAGTCACAGTTTCAGTGAGGAAGAGATATTCTGGAGGGTCAAACATTACTAGTAGACATTCATCAGGAGGATCCACAACGGCGGGCGGCAAAGTCGAAATGGGTTTTGAGATGCCAACACGCGAGTCAGTTCGCCGAGGAGCTGGAACAATGTTGCGCTTGCTGATGTCACCAACAATGTCCTTAGGAGCAGGTTCATCCCTAGGAACGTAAGCGTAGTGTTTCTTTGCCACAGGGAAAGGAGGGCCAAGGAGAGAGTTCTTAGATGTGGCTGGCGTTCTGATAGCCGGAGGAGTATCCGGTGGAGTGGTTGAGATAGCTGGAGGACTATCGGGCGGAGTGGTTGACTCAGGGTCAGCAGGCACCGGAGGAGGATTTGGAGTGAAGGAGATTGTTGCCTTAGGAATCTTCATGGCAGCAGTTGGAGAGGATTTAGCGATAGCCTTTGGTAGCGTATCCGGAGGTTTTGTTAAGGATCGAGGAGATCCATAAGGGAAGGTTAAGGATGTCGGGGAGTAGTCTCTACTAATGACCACATGTCGTCGATCAGAGTCAAAGAAGCGATAAGCATTGGAGTGCTGCTCGAAACCAAGACATAGTAGGGGTCGAGAGGGTACCGATATTTTGGAGGGAGGGCGATGATGAACGTGGACCTTTAGTCCAAATGGGATTAACTCGTTGATGTCCCAAATTGGCTCTATGCAGAGATTCAGTTCAGAAAGAACATCAACCGGTGTTGACCAATTGAGTGCCTTAGACGGGAGAATGTTGATGAGAAGAGAAGCGTAGCGAGCGGCTTCATCCCAAAAATTTATTGGCACCGACGATTGCGCTAACAGACAGCGGATTTTCACCAGAAGTGTTTGGTTGAACCGCTCGGCAAGACCATTGGTTTGAGGGCTGTTAGCGGGGCCAGCCTCAATTCGTATGCCTAGTTTTTCCAGAGATTTAAGGAAATTGTTTGAGCTAAATTCCCCACCACGGTCGGTATGAATAATAGCTGGACACTTACCCGTCTTGTTCATAATTTCATTTACGTAAGACAGGATTTTGCTTTCGGACTCAGATTTGGCTTTCATCAAGTAAATTCTGTTGAACCGGGAAAAATCATCGATGATTACAAGGACATATTTCATCGCAGATTTGCTTGGCGGAGATATTTGGAGTACATCGATGTGAAGAGTCTTGAATGGACGGTCAGTGGTTGGAAGTGGGTTCGAGTGAGGAGTCCGTTTCAATTTGCAGCGAATACAAACTTCACAATTCTTCGCCCGTTGGAATGCATTTGCTTGACTGATTCCATGTAGCTTTAAGAATCGGGAGAGATATTCATCCGAAGGGTGACCGAGGAGTATGTGATAGTCTAGATTGGGATCGAAATCGGAGAGGGCCATCACATAGTTGTTGGTGTTGTTCTTTGCAACTTGGCTTTGATACAAATTACCCACTCGAGGGAACTGATAAATAACCTTTTGACCTAAACGAATGAGGATCAACCGATTCTTGACGACTGCTTTCAAGCCGTGATCCTCCAATTGCGTGGCCGAGATGAGGTTGCGCGGGCCATTTGGAGCATAAAAGGCTGGATAGATGAGCGTTCCACCGAGATTGAATTTTCCAACATGAGTAATGTTGATCGAGCCAGAGTAAGTGTTCATTGCCTTAGTGATTGGTTTAGGATCAATCAACAGATTGAAGTCACACAGAGTCGTCTTCGACGCTCCAGAGTCAAAGATCAAGGTTACATTTTGAGGAGTGTTGGAAATACCGTTGACGTTAATTTCATCCGAAACCATGAATCCCTCGAGCTCGGGATAGTCGATGTAGTCATCCTGATCTTGATCATCGTCTGATTCATCAGGGTGGTCTTCTTCCACATTGTTCGCTTGATCGCGAATGTACTTGTCCATCTGTTGTCGAAACATTCGGGCAAACTCCCTTGCCGCTGGGTCTTGATCGTTAGGTGCAGGACGAGTCGGAATGACTCCACGGAGCGCGCCCCTGGACGTACGACCTCCGCGATGATTTCCGCGACTGGATGAAGCTCCTCGATTCGGATACGACACTTGACGTTGACTAGTCGATTGCTTTCCAAATTTCTTGTTCTGACCAGCAAAGTAGGCTGATTCAGTTGAGATTGTCGATTTTCGGCTTTCTTCAGTGGACAAACGATCAAAAACTTTCTCGAAGGTGAATTCTGGGAGATCGTATAGAGATTGAACCAGGGAAGTCATGCTTTCATCGAGTCGTAGGCTTCTTAACAACAAGCCGGCGGCCATCCCAGTGGACACGGTTATGAATCCTGGAATCGCTAAGATGGCAACCGATAGCGCAGTATATTGTTTTTGAAACTCAGCAAGGTGAGCCGAGAGAGATTCTCCTGGGGAGTAGGTCAGGTCAATCAGACTGAACATCTTGTCGCACAAACGGACGACAGATTTTTCGCCACAAGCGTTGCCTAGAGCTTCGATCGTCTTGTAGATTCCGCCCGTTGACGCAATCACTATTGGGTGGAGCTCCTCTGAGACAGCATTGTGGAGTTTGCTCATGCAACAGGCTTGCATCTGTCAAAACTCCTTGGTCTTCTTGTTAGTTTTGACCCACTCCTCATCCATCAGATCTTCATAGCCTTTAGCGATGACGATATTCTCGAATCGGATCTTCCACGACGCCCAGTTATGACGAGTGAGTTTTTCGAACCTGGAAGAGGACTTCCTGTCGTCATCGGAACTATCGGATATGTTCCCCATTTTTTTGAATACCTATAACTGCGAGTGTTTCTAACTTTAGTCTTATAAAATTGAAGTCAAGTATTGCCTCTCGCTACCATGTAGGAAATATGAGGTCTTATATTACTTTATAGAAACTTTCAATAAATGCTAATAGTAGTAAAAACAACTAAAGAGAGTTCACAAAGATAGAAGAGATCATTAGCAATGAAAAGAGAGTAAAGATAAGAAAAGGTCAAAAAACAACTAGATAAATGAGTGAAAATAGTTGATATTTACCTTCTTATAGTTGGATCCTTGTAAGTACTCTTATAAGACACGACACAATTTGGAGAAATAGACGGAACACAAAAAACAAGCCTGAAAGAAAGAAATAGAGAAGAAATAGAAATAGAAGCAGCTCTGAGATCAGGATCCAGGTCGGCGTCATTGAGAAATGAGAAAAAACTGTTCTACCTCCACCTGTTTTGCGTCCTAGCTCCTCCTGAGTGAAGTTGATCTGAGAGAGTAGATGGTTCGGATCGAACGTGCAGTTTAGGTGTATGATCGAAAGTGGATTAAGGGATTTGTCGATAGGGTAAGTGATGAGCGGAATCTTCGTCTTGAGGTTGAGGAAAAAAGGATTCGAGTCGCTTGCCGAGTCAGTCGAAGGAAGTACTCGCTTCACTTTGAATTCGTGTGACATCTGATTGACACATTTGAAATTCTCAGACGTCGACCGGATCGGTCAGGATTATTCATCCAACAGTTGTGACGGGTCCGGTCATACATCTTCGGTATAGGAAGGAAATCCATGGATGAGGGCATGGTCAAGTCTGATTGGACCGATGGCACTCCCATTCCCCTGCAAGCTGTCTCAAGTCTCAACCGGCAACAAGGAATGTGATCTCCTTGACTCGGAATAGCTCCGCGCAAGAAGCTGATAGATGAATTCATGCCGATCTGTTTCTATGAGTATGACAGGGAGGGCCTCATGATCATAATTGACGCGTCTAGCTCATCAAGCGCGAAGCTATGTACGACCAAGGAGGTCTGCTTCTCTCGCGACTGGCTTCATATAATAAACAACCAATATTCATGAGAAGTGTCTCCTAGAGACCTGTCGTTTATCCGGCACTCTAAACAAAGAGGGAGGTCATTCATAGATTCCTCGTCCAAGGCCGCACCGCTTTACTGTTCGAACAACTCTACATATAACATATTCAACGCAGTCACCGGGACTTTTGCAATCTTTCACATTTTATTATCTTGTTTTTTTCTCACCTTGGTTGGACTCACTTATCAGTTGACTGACCTATTCGAGCTTCCAGAGGTAATTTGTCTTATGACTTTGTCTTTCTCGCTGAAGTCAGCCAGGCTATTGTCTTACCTGTCCTCGTCTGCAGTGCAGAGAGAAGACCCATCGCCCTGCCTTACCGCCTGGGCAGCTATTTTATTGCCATTGGAATATGGTCGACACTGTAGAGGCTACCGCCAACTAGGAATTGGTCACCCCAAAAGACCACATTGGCCTCTCTGGTCCTTTTTGGTCTTTCTCATCTGAGTCCTGACTCTTGGTTCTCATTTCTAAGAGTCGGTTTTGTGATTTGTTTTTTGTCTTGTGTTGAGAATAATTACAATTAATTTAGTTGATATGTAAAAACGAATGATCTATACATAAGTGTTAGTGGGGCAGTAGGGCGAGTTCTAGGTATGTGGGTAAGAGCGCTAAGGTAAGTGAGAGAAGAAGAAAGGAATGAGGAAAGCCCTGGACGGCTAGATTCCAATTCCTAGTCCTACTCCAATTCCAACCCTAAGAAAAGGGAAAATCGGGGGTTTGGTTCGATCAGTTACCGCATAGGGTGACTATTACTAATTCACAAACTGAAAGGCACTTACGCCTAGACCAATACCTCCACCATAACCTCCGCCGTAACCTCCACCATAACCTCCGCCATAACCTCCACCATATCCTCCGCCATAACCTCCTCCATAGCCTCCACCATATCCTCCGCCATAGCCTCCACCGTAGCCTCCACCGTAGCCTCCGCCATAGCCTCCGCCATAGCCTCCACCGTAACCTCCACCGTAACCTCCACCGTAACCTCGCCCATAACCTCCTCCATAACCTCCTCCATGACGCTGTGCGAAATGAGCAATTGAAAATTTGTCGGTCAGCTTTGCTGCAGTTTTTCCGCGGGGATGCATATTTTCATTATTCTGGGTTGAGGGCTTGATCACGTACGAGTAACCCAAAGGTGGGAACGGCCATAACTGTTTGAAGACCGATGATCGTGCTGACAATTGAGAGCAGGAAAAAAGTGTTGAATTGCATCTTGGTCTGCTGTTTAAAGGGTCTGGAGGTCTGTGGGGTTTGGTGGTGACTGTGGATGTTGTGGTCTTGAAAAGAGAGATGTTCTGAGGCTGGATGGATAGTGGATTGGTGTAGGTGCTGAGTAGTCGTGCTGGGGCTTGAAGGAAAGAATGTGTTGCTGGGATGAATAGACTGTTTCTTTTTTGCTGACACAAGGCTAGCTTTTATACACCTTTTTTCCAGCTGCTCCATTCCTCCCATCAGTATGAGGAACATCAACACAGGCTTGACCAGGTCTCACAGACTCTAGCGGCTGGTTCACGACCGTCCAAGGTGGTTTGGATCAGTGGAGAGTCCCGGTCGCAAACACCTGTTCTTGCCTGCAACCAAGCTTTGCCTTGGTGGTGTGCACTCAGCCTGGACCCGTCCAAAGATTCTCTCGGCCGCAAATTACACATGTTTGGTTCCAGCTCTATGGACGTCTGATGCGCTGTTGGACCGGTCTGACCTCGTCGGTTCGGTGACTATGTTAACTATGTAGAGTTATCTGAGCAGTAAGTTGTGCGGGCTTGATACTATAGGAATCTCTGAAAGCCATCTTTGTTTAGGGGGCCGCATCTATGAAGAAACGGTAGGACTCTAAAATTCTCTTCTCAAGGCCTCGTCAATTTCAAGCTCTCCATTCTCCATCTAGTCGCGAGAGAAGTGCGTGTCCTTCGTCTTAGCTTCGCGCGTAACGAACAGGGCGTGTAAGCTCTTCAAGTCCTTGCATCTTTCGATCAATATTTATCCATCTGTTATTCTGATTCAAGGGCTGATATTTCCTTGTCACCACTTGACCCGAGACGTTTCATGATCATGCCATCATGCAAGGATTTTTTAGATCTCTTTTATTAGACTCAGATTACAACCAAAGACGTATGACCGGACCAGTCAAAAGAAATGCGTTTTCATTTGGGAGAATCTTCAAGAAAAGACCACAAGGGTAAACCACCAATTCAAAATCGATTGTTTGACATCCAAAGAACTGAAACTAAAATAAGTTACGACCGACGAAACCCGTGGACGGGTCCAGCCAGAGTGCGCACCACCAAGGGAGAGTTTGCGACCCGGCTTTAACGGGTCCTTGCCCAGTTGCCATCCGGGACTCTGGCAGCTGAACTGATCCAAACCGCGTTGGACGGTTGAGAACCAGTCGATAAAGTCTGTGAGACCTGGTCAAGCCTATGTTGCTGTTGCTGTATTTCCCTCTTCGTGGTACTGATGGCAAGAGTAGAGCAGCTGGAACAATGGTGTATAAAAGCTGGCTGTGTGTCCGCAGAAACTAACTCTCTTCATCCCAACCATCACATTCTTTCCTTCTCCTCAACCCAGCACAGATCCTCAGCACCTGCACAAATCCACTATCCATCCGGCCTCAGAACTTCCTTCGCATCCAGCCAAACAATTTTTTTCCTGAAGACCACAACTCCCGAGTCAACACAACACCCAACAAGAAAAGCTTTTCAAGACCTTCAGAAGCCACCATGCAATTCAACACTTTCCTGATACTCTTCTTTGTTAGCACAATCATCAGTGTTTCAACAGTCATGGCCATACCTACTTTTGGATTACTCGTGAGTGAAAGACCTGATCCAAGAAGATATCTCTCCCGGAAAGCTCACCATTGAATTTCCACTCGCTTCATTCGCTCAGCATCATGGAGGAGGTTATGGAGGAGGTTATGGAGGGGCTTACAGGCGAGGTTATGGGGGAGGCTATGGTGGAGGCTATGGAAGAGGCTATGGCAGAGGCTACGGTGGAGGCTATGGCGGAGGCTATGGCGGAGGCTATGGCGGAGGCTATGGCGGAGGATATGGTGGAGGATATGGTGGAGGTTATGGCGGAGGTTATGGCGCAGGATATGGTGGAGGGTATGGAGGCATTGGCCTAGGTGTAAGTACCTCTTACTTTGCAAAACAGTAGCAGTTTTCCTATTGCGTTAACTGACTGTTTTCCCTCTCTTACTCTTAGGTTGGAGTTGGAGTAGGATTAGGAATCGGCATCTAGACGTTCGAACTTCCTCATTTCTTTCTCCCTATCACACTCTCCTTAACCCTCGCTCTCGCCCACCCAACTCAATCTTGGGCCGCATCGATCGCAGCTTCGCACAACTCACTTCGCTGTACCGATGGCTTTACTGAAGCATTTTGCTTAACGATGACTGTCCAGACACCATGCTTATGAGGCGCGACCCAGTGCCATATATAGATCATTCATTTTTACATATCGACCAAATTAATTGTAATTATTAACAGCACAAGAAAAAAAAAATAAAAAATTGTTTAATACAGATGAGAATCAAGAGTTAGGACTCAGATTGGAATGTCCCAAAAGGACGAGAATGCAATGCGATCATTCTGGATAACCGATTTCTTGTCGGCGGTAGCCTCTAGAGCGACGACCATCGAATGGTAATAGACTAGCAGTCTAGTAGGCACGTAGCAATTTAGTAGGTACGGCGTACGCGATGGGTCCTCTCTGCACCGCAGAAGAATCTAGAGAATATAATAGTCTAACACACTTCAGGGAGAAAGATAAAGTGGCAGGAAGACTTACTTTTGAAATCTCGAACAAGAGCCAATCGAGGATGCCTGGTTAGAATCCATGCAGAGAGATCTACAAGCCAGGCGAGCCCCAAGAAGATGCCAGACGCAAACTGCAGTGCACTTGTAGCAAACTTACGATCAGGCTTTACCAACACAAACTCCCAGCTCTCGTGAGAGGACCAAAAGCTGTTGTGGACTCTTCATCTCACAAAAAGAATTATTTACCTTGTCTTTTTATGCGAGTTTTTGACTTATGAGACGGTGTAGTAGCGTTCTAGGACAGGTGCTTTGGTGCTTCGTGAGCGGTTTGTACATCCATACTTACCAATCTCTCTGGTCCACTCTTACTCATGGAATCCTACTCGATGGGCTTCGATACTCTCCAGTCGAGTAACTCGAGCTGCCGGAGTCAAAAACAAAGTCTTTCCATGTGATGTCCCACCTTTTAACGCTTAAAACTTCCAAGCGGCCTGTGAGTTCATCAACACTGGGTGATGTGAAGTGAGGAAAGGAAACACAAGGTTGTGTGTACATTGCATGTAGATAGACTAGGTAGGTTTATATACATGCGCAAAAAGGGGCTAAGGTGAGAACCCCTGTAACCCCTTCCCCGGGTCACAACACTCCCCCCTCACCTAGCCACTATCCATGAGTCTCCCCCAAAACTGTTCAAAGGGTTCTCTGGATAATGCCTTGGTAAGAATGTCAGCAAGTTGGAGTTTGGTAGGCACCCATACCAGTTCTGTCTTTTTTTCATGTAAGGCCTGGTTTGTGAGGTAGAATTCTCGTTCCACATGGCGTACTCGTTTGTTGGCCGAGTCATCTGTACTTACTCGGATTGCTGCTTGATTGTCGCAATGCATGACACCGGTAAAACTCTTTTTAAGTATGTCTGTCAGCAAATGTCTTACCCAAAGTACCTGCCGTGTCCCAATTCCGAGAGCCATATACTCCGCTTGGCATGTGGAAGCTGCTATTGTGGCAAACCTCCTGGATGTCCAGAGTACCGGGCACCCAAAAAAGGTAACGACAATCCCATAAGTGGATTTGGCAAATTCTCCGCCCCATGATGCGTCGCAGAAACATTTCAAACAGCGGTGGGCCGCTACGCTACACTACGCTACAGGCCCATGTAGCGTTAGCGTAGCGGCGCCATTTTTCTTTTTTTTTCGTGTAGTGTTAGCGCGCCGCTACTGCCGCTGCGCTACGCTAACTTGTAGCGGCGCTAACACTAGCCAAATTTTGGTGTAGTGTTAGCGCACCGCTGGCGCCGCTACGCTGCTTTACGCTACGCTACAGCGTTTTTAGCGGCAAAAAACGCCTAAAAACCGCTAAAAATGGCTGTAGCGCAGCGTAGCGGGCGGTTTTTTGCGCCCTGTGCGCGTAGCGTTAGCGCACATGGGGGGAATCACGCTAACGCTACGCTAAACGTTAGCGCAAATTTTTCCCCCCTCCGCGTAGCGTTAGCGCAGAAATTGAAAAACGCGCTAACGCTACGCTACATTGTAGCGATTTTTCGCTACACTACGCTACGCTAACGCTACGGTTAGCGTAGCTGGCCCACCGTTGTTTCAAAGGTTTCTCCGCTTTATCTGGAAATAGATTTAGTTGTAACTGTTGGGTGTCAGCGACATATCCTATTAGGTGTCTCACACCTCTCCAGTGATTCGTTCCAGGTTTGGCAGAGAAACGTGCCAGTAGATTCACTGCAAAAGCGATGTCCGGCCGGCTACCTACGGCTAGATAGCTAAGGGATCCAATTATTGACAGGTATTCTGTTGATTTTGACTCATCGCCTGCTGGGTCAGTTACAAGTTCAAGAGATGGTGGAAGAGGCGTCTTATGTGTAATTGTACCATCCCAGTGAGTGTCGAGGATTTGGCGTATCAGCTTTGGTTGACGTAAGCTGAAACCTGCCGGCGATCTCTTGACTTCCAGGCCAACAATTGAGTCTAGTCCTCGCGACCACTTGATCTTGAGTAGTCCTTTCAGGCCGCTTTCCAGTGATTGGAGGAGTTCAGTTGACGACCCGGTCACAATTCCATTGTCCACGTGAATCCATACGACTCCCTGTTTATCCTGATGTTTTACCGTGTACAAACTGTTGTCGTATTGACTGGCTGTGAATCCCAGTTTCTCCAGCACTCCCTTCAGATGGAGCCACCAACACCGCGCTGCCTGTTTAGTTCCATACAGGGCTTTATGAAGGAGCATGGCCTCTCCAGGCTTTACATCTATACCTTCCGGGGCGTTGACCCAGACTTCTTCATCGATGGGCGCATTGAGATAGGCTGCAACAAAATCGAAAGAGTAAACTGGCCAGTTGAATTTGGCTGCTAAGGTTAGTATTAAACGCATGGATACAAATGTAGCTGTCGGCGCAAACGTTGCCTCGTAGTCCAGTCCAATGACTTGAGTGAAGCCTTTTGCCACATACCTCGCTTTGAAACGGACTGTCTCACCAGAATCATTGAGTTTCTCGGCAAAAACCCACCTGCCTTTCAAAGGTCTTCTGCCGGGTGGTACCTTCTTCACGGACCAGACCTTCATCGCCAGAAGATTGTTCAACTCTTCTGAAATCGCCTCTTTCCAGTTTGGCCACGACAATGATTTTTGGGCCTGTTTGAAGGTCTTCGGTACTGATGCTGCAAAAAAGGAACAGTCGAGGAGTATTCTGTCTACCATCAGTTCTTGGTCACGGAATGTGATTTCATCCCGAAAGTCTCCCAGTTCAAATAGGTTGACAATGAATGAAACATCAGCTTTGCTTGGCTTGGGTTTTACCACATTCTCGACAGGTGCTGGGGGGCTGTCGTCCGGTGGATGCGGTTTGGCCCGCTTAGCCTCCTCGGTCGCAATCTGTTTCTGCGTGATGATTTCTGCCGGCTTCTTGGGATTTGTTGTCTTCCTGTCAGGCCAATCAACTACAGCTGCCCCAACCAACTCATTAGTGTCAACCAGAAGAAAAATCCAGCCCTTACTGTCATCACAGTGAGCTACCACTCTGGCTTCCAAACCCCGGTCGTCGAGTTTCTTCCTCAGTTCCTTTGGAACATGGATGAAAGCCCGTTCACCGAAAATCCTGTACCTGTCCATCGACGGCTTGTGGCCGTAGAACGCCTCAAATGGGGTCATCATTCCGCTTCTTTTGTTGGGAAGGGCGTTGAGGACATTGCAGGCCCATATGAATGTGAATCCCCAGAAAGGCTTGCCCATCCGGCTGTCGATGAGAATGGTGCGCCCCATGTCTGCCAGGGTGCGATTGAACCTTTCGATGATGCCGTTTTGGTAGTGATGGTATGAGAGAGCCCGCTCGGCTTTGATCCCTTTGTTGAGGAGGAAGTTGGAGAGTACGTCGCTACAGAACTCTCCCCCGTTGTCGGTCCTGACGCACTTGACGTTCCCGGACAATTGCTTCTCCCACCTCAAGATAGTTTCGATGAGGTATCCGCACGCTTGTGACTTTTCCGCCATCACTTTAGCCTCGCTGAAGCCTGTGGCCAGATCTCTAATGGTTAGCAGGTACTTCCCTTTGTTGAAAGTCTCCACCTCAAAAGGACCAATTATGTCAGCAGTAATGATATCAAGTTTGGCAATTGGTCTATCTGACGGTGATAGACGGCTTTTATTGATACTCTTACTTTTGGCACAGATTTCGCATTTCAGCTCCCCCTTCGGTAGTGACACCGGAATGTTGGCACACAGTTTCTCCTGAAATACTTGCCGGATTTTTGCCAGGCTAGCATGGCCGAAGAACCTGTGCCAGTATCTTAGTATCTGCTCATTCTTTGAAAGACTGTTAGTAGCTACGGTATTCTTATCTTTTTCAATGTTGAGAGGAGTCACAAAGATGTTACGGCGCATATCTCCTCTTATTTCAGTCGATATCGGACAGAAAGTGGGATTACTTTTATTTTTGGCATGATCATCATATTGCATAGGCTTAAGAGCTTGACGAGATGGGACAGGCTTTGAAGGAGAACAAAAATGACGGATTGGTCTTGGGAACACCCATTTGTTTTGAGAAGGTATGAAAGGACATCTGAAACATAGCTTGTTGTTGCTGGAGTATATCAGGTAACAGTCCTGTGCGATATCATACGCAAAATATGCGTTAGCTTTACGCAGGGCCGCAAGGGAGATCAAAGTGGATCTGGCAAGCTCACAATAAAGAACGCCGTGGATCGTGACATTCTGGTTGTCCAAACCAGAAAAGGTCAGATCACCTTCGCCGGTGATGAAAGCGGGGTTGCCTGACGTGGCCACTTTTAGAGGGATGGGTTTGGGAAAAGTGCAAAAATTAGAAAGCAGATTAAAATTTCCACACAGATGGTGGGACGCACCTGAGTCTATGATTGGCACATCATCTGACAAGTCAGCCTGGACATGACCAAAATGGATGTTCGCAAGGTCCTCCGCGACATCGCCCAGTTCAACCATCCGCGCGGTGGACTCCTCATTGGAGTCCCCGTTCACCAATGCCTCATTTGCAGTGGGCTTAGGCCTTTGAGACCCAATTGACTCCGACTGCGTTGGCACTCGTTGCAATCGGTATTGCGGCGGTCGGTAGTAGTCGGCCGGTCTTGTCTGATTGGCGGGTGGCGGGTTTGGGTGTGATGAGTTTGGTTGGCGTTGGGAGGGTTGCGGCTGTGGGTAGACTCCGGTGAAGCCTGGCGGTGTGACAATCGGATAGAAGGACTGGAATACGTACTGAGCATAGTTGGGTGAGGCCTGTGGAATCCGTGCTTGGTTTGTTGATCCTCTTGCCGACCTTCCTGGTCCAGAAGCTCTCGCTCGCATGGGACAGTTGCGAAGCATGTGATCTGGTGATCTGCATTGCCAGCACAAACCTGCCTGCATTGCCATGAAGTCGTGGGCGTCGGGCGTGTTGTCCGGGTGTAGTGCTGGCATTGGGGTTGAAGAGACCGTTTGCGCAGATCGGCCTTGGTCCACTTCAGCTTGCATGACGAGAGGCGTTGACTGAGTTGATGTGTTGCGGTTGACGTTCTGGAGCCGCAGTTGTCGTCTGATGATGTCGATTAGTCGAACCATTTCATCGAAGTTCATTGGCGGATCCTCAACCGTGGCAGACTGGAGATCATGCTCGATCCTCCGGTCGAACTCTTGTTGCAGTTCTGGTTCGGAGGCCAAACCGTTTTGTAGGACCAAGCCTGCCAGGTGATCCCGGGTGAACGGCATCCTGATTGTCTCCATTTCATCGAGGATGTCACTGATGTGCATCGAGACGCTTGCAGTGGTCGTATGATCGCTGATGTTGAACGCTACGAGTCGACAAAACAGGTCCATTTGAGCCGCACGGCTGACAGAGTGGAACCGGATTCTGATATCCTGCCACATTCGGTGGACCGTGGCATGGCGTGCAAGTCCCCTGCGCAATGACCGATCAACCGATGTGAGGAGGATAGATCGGCCAATCCTTTCGTGTATGGCATTGTTGTTGGGAAAGTGGAAGAACAAAGGAACGTTGATTGCATCCCTGATTCGTTCATATAGGAAATCTTGCCAGACCGCAAAGTTGGAGCCGTCCGGTTGAAGTCTATCTTCGTTGCGGATTTGATTGGAGACAGCTCCGATGACAGCGGCGATGTGGCAATTGCGTTCTGGGTCTTCAGGCTGGGGTTCTGGTGGAGCCTGGTGAGGAGGGGCTTCTCGATGGCGGCGTTGACGTGCTCGCTCTCATTCTGCGGGATCGCGATGTTGTCGTTGTTGTCCTCCTGCCACTGCTGCGGGTTGAGGGACATCGGGCGGGTTAGGCGCATCTTTGGCTATAGGGGGTGCATTGTGTCCGACCGGGGGCTGGCGGTTGTCGTTCATGTCGGAGATGTGGTGTTATGGGAAGAGGTGGAGAGATACAGAATGGGTTGGGGCGGGAAGATAGAAGAGTGAAAGGAAGGGGAAAGGAAGGAAATGGGGAATGAGGCGGAAGGGAATGAGAAGGATGTGGGCGAAAAAAAAACTGGAGGTGGTGAGAGTGGATAGGATAAGGGGCGGAAAAGAAGGTTGGCAATTTAGGGAGAAGCGGCGGGGAGGGGAGTTATACCGATGAGAAAAGAAAAAAAATTGTCGGAGTCTAGAAAAGGGTTTATTGTTTGGGGTATTGAAAGAAAGGATAACAAAAACGGGATGAAAGTACAAAGGAATCGGGTAGTGGGAGGGATGGAAGAAGGAAATGGGTAGATGAGATACGATCTTCCTTTACGCCTGTTCAGCCCCAAAAACCCAGCGTCCCAGGTATGGATATACTTCGGAGTGCGACTTGCAAAGCAGCTTAATCAGCAGTATAAGGTTGAGGGTAACTATCGAGTACAGTTGGCGGATTTTCAAGATGTTTGGGTAGGTCGGGAATAACGGACAAAGTGCGAACAAAAGAAACTCTAAGGGCGCGTACCACAGCGCTTGCCAATTTGAAAATCGATTTGGACCCGTTTTTTTTTTTTGCGCTTTTTTTAAAACGGAACCGAAAATTACCAATTCCATAAACGTGTACCACACACCCTTCTTCATCTTGTCATCACACGCATCCCCTGGTCGATTCCACATCCTCCTCAAGTCCTCGCATCACTATTCAACATGTCCTCCCCAGAGACAACAATTACCTTGGCAGCATCACACTTGATGCTCTTGATCTCATCGGCAGCAGCTGCAGCTGCCATCATCATTCTCGATTACTATTACACCGATGGCACTCCCTATTATGGCGATGGCGGGCGGGCCAGATATGTTCGATTCCTATTGAATGAAGCACGACCAGAACTCTTTCGCGAGATCACTGGAATTGAACGTACAACCTTCGATCAACTCGTTTTGGAACTTGAAGAAGCAGAGCTCCTTGGTGATGGACGATCGGTGACCGTTGAAGAACAGGTACTCATTTTTCTTGATATTACTCGATACAACAACTCCATGCGTCAAACTGCAGTGAAGTTCCGACGGGGTTTATACACAATCAATCGGTGAGCAAGAGATCTTCTTCTTTTCAAAATACAAATTATTAATGGCATTCATTTCTTTGTTATCTGGGAAAAGGTACTTTGAAGAGGTATTAGAGGCCCTCTTCTCGTTATATCCACGATATATCAAATTCAACTCAACAACAACGGCACTCCATGACTGTATTAAAAGCGATGCAAAAATGGCGCCATTCAAAAACTGTCTTGGCGCAATCGATGGTGTGCTGATTCCAGCACATGTCCCAGCGAACATTCAATCTCCATGGCGATGCCGAAAAGGTTTTTTGTGTCAGAATGTTTTGGCCGCGGTTAATTTTGATTTTGAATTTGTCTATGTCCTTGCTGGATGGGAAGGTAGTGCACACGATACTCGGGTGTTTAACGATGCAACCTCAAAAAAATTGAAGATACCCGACAAGAAGTACTTCGTTGCAGATGCAGGGTATGGGTTGCAGCCTGGGCTAATGACTCCTTATCACGCCGTTCGATACCATCTCAAAGAACAAGCAGCTGCTGGTCTTCGTCCAGCGAATCCAAAGGAACTTTATAACTTGCGACACGCTTCCCTCCGAAACATTGTTGAACAACTATTTGGCGTATTTAAGAAAAAGTTCTCGATTCTGAAGAGTCCACCAGAAATCGAGCTCTCTAAACAAATTAGGTTGATCTACTCACTCTGTGTACTATGGAACTTCATCCGGAAACACGAAACGATTGGCTCGCTCTTGGAAGAGATTGAAAAGGTTCAAAAAGAAGGCGGCCACTCATCAAGCCCTTCCGACACGGTTTACTCGCCTGCAGTTGAGGATGCAAGAATGAAAGCACGACGTGATCGGATTGCCACCAAGATGTGGGATCAGTATATCTCATACACGTCCCAAAGGAAGTCATAGTAGCTCTTTTTTCATTTTTTCACCTCGGTGTTTTTTTCATTTTTTCACCTCGGTCCGATCAATCAATTGTTTTTCTGATAGTTTCTTATAATCAATGCACACCCGATTGTTTTTAACAATCAATTTTCTTTTTTTTTGTGATGAATGCACGATCGATTGTGCTTGGCGATGGTTTATTTTTGGTAATCCATGGATGAATCGATCGTTCTGAACGATCAATCGTTATTTCCATTTTTTTTTGTTATCAAAGCACGATCGATCAAGTGTGCTTTCCAGTTGCTTTTTTTTTGTAATCAATGGACAGTCAATTATTTTTTGTTATTGATTGTTTGAATTTTTTTTATAATCAATGCAATCGCTCATTATCATCATGAACAAAGTCAAATATGGTGTCTGGGTCACAAGATAACATACACTTTTTTTTTGATTGACCAAGTGGGTGAGAAACATGAGAAGACCAAGCTAAAGAGGAGGATTTCTCATGATTGATTGACCGAGGCAAAAAAAAAAAAAAGATTGACCGATGGTGAGCGAAGACAAGAGATGAAACAGAGCCAAAGAATGATCAATGAAGATAAGAGAAAAATATGAGCCCGATGAGTCAAGGCAAGATGTCCCAGTTGAACGTCGGACATGTCGAGGCACAAAGTCGCAGTCAAGGCAAGAAGTCAGAGTCGAGGCAAGAAGTCGATGTCGTCAAGGAAAGAAGTCGATGTCGTCGAGGCAAGAAGTCAAAGTCGTCGAGGCAAGAAGTCGGAGTTGTCGAGGCAAGAAGTCGGAGTCGTTGAGGCAAGAAGTCAAGCAAGGGTGATTCTAAAGAACCAACTTGGTCACTGTCAACTAATGACCGTTGACTTCGCTGTCCAGCCACATCTGGCAAATCTTTTGGGAGGAGGTTTGAGCTAGCAATAAGAAAGTTGTTGCTTTTTTTTTGTCTTCAAGGACCCAAACGTAGCGAATGTATTTTTCGTCGTCAACCTTGTTCAGAAAGTATCCTGAGAGACATTTCAGCGCTTGCGCATTGAGTGATTTGTGAGATGAGGAGGCTTCCGACCGTTGATCCTTCTTTGATCGATCGTCTTTGGAAGTTGAGGATTGACCGTGAAGATTGGAAATCGAGTCACTGGCATGGTTGATGGCCCCGATCAACCCATCAATGCTATTAGTCACAACGGTTCCTTTCGTCTCCCGGACACGCTTGTTGGAATCCGTCTGATTTGACCGGCTTGGTTTCTTGGAAACTTGAGCATCGCTATCGTCGTCGTCGGAAGAACTTGACACCACAACTTCCTTCTTGCTTTTCACCTTTCGCTTTTTTGAGGTCGAAGTTGAAGCCGTTGGTTTGGAAGCAGAGGTGGGAGCCGGATTAGTGACTACCTGAGCTGGATCGTCATCTGGGGGTACATGTTTATTAACGCTATCACCTGTCGCAAAGTTTCCAACAAAAACGCGTTCTGCAAGCTCGTAGAGTGGAAAGGGCTTGTCTTTCAACCTGCCAAAGTTTCTTCTTGGATGAGATTGAATGAGCTCGTCCCAGGTCCTTTGATCGGCGGTGACAGTGAATTTTTCATCGTCCCAGCCAAATCCCGATTGTTCACAGAGGAACTTGTAGTCGAAAAAGAGTGATCGGATGGCATTCTTCTGGTTTTTGATTTGATCACGAGTGAGGTTCAACTTGAAGTAATCATTTAGACCGTTCATCACACCGGTCCAACCCTCCTTTTTCAAGTTTCCATTATCGGTTGCATGTCCAGCAGACATTTCATCGTAGAGCAACTCCAGAAGTTTACATCTCTCGAGCGTAGTCCAAGTGTGTGGAGCGTTCCCATCAGATGCGGCCGATTCTTGGAGCGATTTGGAATTGAGCGCTGGTGTTTTTGAGGTCATTGCTGGTGTCTTTTGTGTGGTTTCAGATGGCTTGGGGGTGGTGCCAGATGGCTTTGGGGTGATTTTTGATGTATTCGTAGCTAGTTGTCTTTTTTTTGAGGCCTTTGAATTGGAATCGTTGTCTGGTGAAAGCAAGAGTGGTGGTGGTAGTTGATCATCCAACCCATCGGATGGTTGAGCTGGCGGAGATATCTCGAAGAGGGTAGGATCTATCATCTGTAGAGTGTATATATGGTTATATGGTGTATATGAGCCGGTTGCTTTGGAGACAAGATGGCACAGTCCGTTTTTGGAAACGGGGGTGGGGCCGTTTCCTCAAACGGCAGCAAATGTGAAAAAACGATTAGTCAAGTAATCAAAAAAACTGACGCTTGTGGTACGCGTTTTTGGCCAAAAACGTTTACTGCCCAAAAAATTGGAAATTGGAAGCCCGCGGGCAGCTGTGGTACGCGCCCTAAGAGATGTTGATAAAAAAAAATTTTTGATGATTGTCGGGTCGATTACGCCCTACGCAGGGCTACCTGTTTGAAATGAGATATACAAGGACAATTACTCCCTACACTAGGATACCTTGTTGATGTTGACGAGATGCTTTAAAGGCGCTCATAACCTGATGTGAAGTGAGGAAAGGAAACACAAGGTTGTGTGTACATTGCATGTAGATAGACTAGGTAGGTTTATATACATGCACAAAAAGGGGCTAAGGTGAGAACCCCTGTAACCCCTTCCCCGGGTTACAACACTGGGGCCGAACTTGATGAGAAGATTGACATGATACATTGTGGCCTTGACATTTACGTAGACATTAATATCCAGCAAGGAGGTTTTTGTAGGCTATGTGGGTCATGTCCTGTAACCACAACCAACGATTGTGTTATCGAGTCGCTCTTTCGGTACGTTGGAATCCGGCGAGTTGTCTACTCGCGTATACATAAACAAGTGGGTTCAAAGTTACCCGACTCCTAACTTGGTTGGAGCTGGTTATACAAGGGTAGGAAGAGATTCAAGAGTTCCATTTTATAATGGCCAAGTTTGACTGGGCTCCATGGAACAGCTTGCATGTGTTGGTACTTTTGGAAATTTGGACTGTACATACACACATGCAACGATGCCGATTCACGTTTGGCAACCCCCTCGCGGATGGCGACATCGCAGAGACACGATGGCGTGACGAACGATTGGAATGGCGTGATTATTTTTTCCAACAGTCTTCCTTTTTGCGCTCATCATCTCTGCGTTCCATCCAGGAGACCTTCACGCATCTATAAATACCCAACCAAGACGGCATGGGGAGTCGTCCACCCCGCACTTCTACCCAAGTTTTGGCTTCAACATCGATACCGCTGCTTTCTCCCACTGGACTACGAGATCAGGATTCTTCGCTGAAAGTATCTAACCCCAATTCGATAAACTCGCCAAAATGTGCAGGTCAGGGAACTCTTTTGCTGCCGAAAGTCGTATGATGATACTGAAACAATTCCTTCGTTTGAATTGGTTCGCGTCCAGACTTCTCATCTTCAAGGGAGAGCCAATTGGTCTCTCTCACTTAATCACTAAGCCCTCTCAGTCAGCCATCTTCTTTTTCTTTTGTCTGGAATATCTGTCAATCCTATGCCTCCAAAAATAATTTACCATGAAATATTTATGTCTGATTTTTTTTTTGGTTCGGTTCGTAGTTCGATTATCAACCAGGCCTTTGACTGTCGATTGCGATTAGGTATGCGGATCAATTCACCAGTGGCCATGATGCTTTTCAAGAATTGCAGCTGAAATTGATTCCACAACGCGTCCTACAGATGCTAGACCAGTGAATGCCGATGGGTTCGGTGTAGGTAAGAAAGCGCTCATCGGTTCACTTGCACTCCCTTTTTTTCTCGTCGAATATAGTCATATTCATCTTCTCTTTTTTTTTTGTTGTTGTGTCACCACAGGCTGGTATGACACAGAGTTGGAAGACTCGGTACCTTGCGTGTTTCAAGCAATTACACCTGCATGGTGTGAGTAAAAAATTTTAACTTTTTTTTCGAGAACATGGATTTTCTTGAGTCGGCGAATTGGGCAACTTATGTCTGTTTGTTCTCTGAACTGCAGCAAATCGAAATTTGCATCGCCTGGCAGAAAAGATTCGATCTCCCCTGGTATTGTGGGTCTCGTTTTATGCTTACAAGTTCTGCTCGGCCCCAATGACTGATGGCCTAACTTGATGTAATTGGTTCCTTCAGTGCCCATGTCAGGGCAAGTACCACAGGAGCGCTTAGCGAAGAAAACTGTCACCCTTGGGTGAGTGTATCTACCCTGCTCTCATCTTTGGAAAAACACAGGTTCTGATGTCCCATTCTTCTCAGATTTACGGCTCGTTACTCTGGATGCATAATGGTAAATACTTGAGTTTAGATTTCCATCCTTCTGTAGAAGATATTGGCAAAGTTCTTTCCAGCTGACCTAGAGGAAAAAATGTTCAATTGCATAGGCAATATTTCTGGCTTCACAAAAATTAAACGTCATCTTCAGAACGAATTATCAGAAGAATTTTTCCATTTTCCTCAAGGTGAGTCCCAAGGGCATTCACATCGAGGGTTGAATTAGTCAGTGATCGAATTCAAACCATCTGTTTCTGAAATTGATCAGGTAGTACCGATTCAGAATGGGCGTTTGCGTTATTCTTGAACGAATTAAGCAAGGTATTTCCGCCCGCTTTTTCTTCTAATTGCCCATGGAGAATTTGAATTGATCTGAGGAAATTGGTGTTCTCCAGATAGCCGATCCGAAAGCCACATCGTTTCCCTATGTGACGCTGAAAGAAGTCATGCTTTTGACGATCGAGAAGATCAAATGCTGGTGGGTTCAAGCGGGGGTCCAAGAGCCGTGTCGGATGAACTTCGCGGTGACCGACGGCCGGAGCGTGGTCGCGACGAAATATGTAACCAGTTCGACAGAGGACGCTGCCAGTCTTTTCTTCTCCACGGGCACCTCGTTTGAACCTAGCAAACAAGTCAATATCCCACCCCCGACGTATCTGGATGACGATCATCAGCCTCGTCCGGCTGAACAGTATCGAATGGTACATTATCTTCATTGTCATCCAAGCTTTTGCATCGCATCATTCTTACCATTATTGTCTTCGTTATTCAGCAAAAATATGACAAGAGAGAGAAGATCGTTCTGATTGCGTCGGAGCCGCTAACATTCGAGAAAACCGACTGGATAGAAATCCCTTGTCAGACGCTGGTTATAGTGACACCCAAGGTATGTCAATTATGTGGCTCCTCATCATTCCGAAAACTGGCTGAAAAGCAGCTTACAGTAGTATGAAAAATTACTGACAACTCTGGTTTTTTTTTCTTCTTCTTCTCATTGGTAGATGAATGTACTTCAATTCCCAATAATCGACGAGTTTGTTGACAACGTTTATAAGACTGGCATCTCACTCACTTCAAAGACTTTCTATCCTGTTGAGTAATGGACTCATGATCACTCCACAGTAAGATCGGATCCTTAATTTTATTTTTATATATGAAACAGAAATCTTTGTCAATCTCCTTGGTTGCAATTTGACTATACTCGCAGCGCTTCCCATTTCTAGATAGATGAATTCTTCGTTATCATAGGTTTTTTTTCTTCTTAGCCTTTGTCTTAGAACTTCATTTGTAAAAGACTGTATTTGGACGATTGAACTTGATTAATTTACTTGCATTTAATATTTAAACATGTCACCTAATGTGATTTCCCCAATCCTTTGAACATCACTGAAAACCATTCGAAATTGATTGTTAGAGTCACGATGGGAAGAGCTGAGCTCTTTTCACCAAGCACTTCCACTCATCTTTTCTGGCTCATGGCACGTCGTATTTTTCCAATGATGTATGATTGCTCAGTATGATTTTGGTTTTATCGTTGTTTGATTTCTGTACAAAGTTTACTAGCTAACTGAAATTTCTCTGCTGTTCAAAAGGTACAACCGTACAATCGAATGATATAATTGCTTTGAAGCTTTGATTGTTATAGTAGATTTGTGTCCATCAATCAATTGCCGATCTAATAATTACTACTTTATTGTCTATTTATTCTCTTCTATCATTTGTAACTCCTCACTTTCTCTAGGGTGGGTTGCCCTTTTTCTTCTGAGTCTGACCACCATTATTACCTCCATTTTTGGGATTACCTCCGCCCCCGCCTCCGCCTCCGTTTTTCTTTTGAGCACCATTACCTGGCTGTTTCTTTTTTTGTTGGCCACCTCCTCCCCCTTGGCTACAACACTCCTTGTTCCATTTTGTGGCGATTGCGGCTCCCAAAGCATCCGTTGTTGCCTTTTTGATCAAATTGTTGCATGCATCCACATCTTTCTTGTCCACATTTCCGCAATTGGCTTGATTGAGCGCTCCGCAGAGGTTTTTCCTGTGAGTTGAAAGATAGGTTTCATCAGTTGAAGTTATTATAATCAGAAACATAAAAAATCAAAGAAGCAAAAGATTTCGAAAATCAATTTGATGGATTTGGATTTGTTGGTACTTACAAAAATTTATTGCCTTCAATCCGAGGTTGGACAACTTTGGCTAGGTTTTTGTCCAGGCTAGCAAACACATCTAAGAGCAGATATACACAATGTAAACAATCATTCATAGATACTTGTTAGACAGGTAAAACAAAACATCATAACCAACAAAAGACTCATATCAAGTACGTACTGTTTTCAGCCGTGATTTTGAGATCACATTTGCCGGATTTCAGCAGTCTTTTTTGCAAAGACCTAGCAGAGATTGAGCTGCAATACAGAGAAGCCAAGAGGAACAATTTTTTTGGGAACAACATGCTGTCTGATAGTTGCTTCAATAGGTGTCCACGATCCACTTCCAGAGTGGAGAACCGGGAATTGAGAAATCGCTGTCTGCTGTTGAGTGAGGTGGATGGTTGCACTTGAGAAGCCACTGATCTTGAGTGTTAGGAGAACTTTGTACAATGTTTTGTTAATCTAATTTATGTTTAATGATTCCTCGTTGGTATAGGTTGATATATGTGACTGGTGAGGCAAAATGAAGATTAATATGTATGTGAGTTAGAGTGAAGATTAGGTGCCATGCCATCCAGCAAGGAGGGGAATTCCTGGGTATTTGTGAACCAGTGAATCAACACCAATCCAGAAAATGTCGCCGGTTGCTGTAGTGTAAAGAACACTGTTCCCAAAACATTGGGAAACATCCCGGCATTCGGTTGGAAGGTAACAGTTACGAAGTCATCATAAGCATGACGGCGAGTCTAAGATACTAATCTCGGAAGTAAAGTAACATTATCCGAGGACGTCGCACAAGTTTCAACGCAGTGTAATATAAAGTCTTGGTTCACATCATTGGTGTTGTCGAGAGTCGAATGAAAAGAAGTCATGACTCATTGCGACCCTTAAATGATTATATTTTACAATTGCTCACCGAAGCACATCAGTAACATACTAGCGGCAGTAGGTCCGCCATTACCACGAGTCGACTGGACTTGTGCACATAAAAGCAATGTTGATGGGTGGCACAGCATTTGAAGTCCGGACCCAAAATTGTTGACTGCAGTTTTTACTTCCCACAGCCACTGCCGGCAAGGTGACCGAGGTATAAACAGTTCCTAACCGACCATGACCTTGGTGCTTAATTTGATCGAGAAACTTACCGCAAGCCAAGAAAGATTTCGTGTGATCGTCGATTCAGCGGTGCCTCAAGTGGAAGGCAGTCCGCTCCCATGGCCTGAAACTTTCAACACAACAAGGCTCAATAAAATTCATTGAATTGTATTTTGAATAGTTAAAAAGGACTGCAAACACGGGACTGATGACTTGGCCGGATAAGAGGATTGGGATAAAGGGTGAACAGAACTCATCCAGTGAGCTCAATAATTCCCTTGAGCATGTGAAAAAAGAGACACAAAAAAATAAGTCGGAATTTGGAATCACTTCTTCTTCATATGAGCACATATTTCTAGGAAAGTTGATGTTGATACAAGACATTTCTGACTTTCAGAATTTCTTCAAACCGGAGAGAATTAAGCCAAGACGAATAATTCTTATGATAAAAAATGACTATGATACGCGGAGAAATATGTCTCAGATTTTCCTTGTCTAAATCTGCCGAAAAGTATTCCAAAAGTGTCAATTGAATTTCTCCAAATGAAGCTGGTTTGTCATATGAATCGCTGTACCAGGGAGCAATACCTTCAGGAGCCTGAACATAGGCTAGCAGTGGAAGGCTGTCTTTTGGCTGAACAATTTCTTCAAAAATATATTGAATCAAAAGCTTTCTCCTTGTAATGCGTTCTTGTTTTTCAATCTTCAGCCTTATCAGAAATTGTAGATGTAGATGATCCACCGACTTCAGCAACATTCGATATCTTGGACCTAATTCATCCACACTAAGTAACGTTCCATCTCGTGGATTCACGATTCGTAAGGGTTGTAGAGCGCTGGAACTTTTCTGAGGAATGCACATCGATATTGGTAAGTTTGGATAATAACTCCGAAGATGTCCTGGTCTCATGAATTCTAGCATGTAGCACCTTTTCTCAAATTCAGAAAAGGAAGGCATAAACAAAGCATTGTCTTGTTCTGAAAATGATGATCTTTGATACTTGTATATACTCTCTATTTCTAAGTCTTCAGCTAGACCCAATAAAAACTTAAGGCTTTCCCGCAAATGTTTTTTTCCTGATATTTGACTTGGTTTTTCAAGAGTGAGGTTTGAAGGTTGGTTTATTGCTAGATATTCGGCTTATGAGTGATGGAACGTTGGAAGATTTCACCCAGAAAAATTCTTGTTGTAGTTAGAATGCGATATGATCAAGTTTCATCAAGTACAGAAGGATGGATTTACTCACTTTGATGTTGCGTTCGGTATAATTTGAGTAGACTGGAGGCACAGCTATTTGGATCGCAATTTTCCTCAGAGAAGTACTTGATCAACTCTAATTGAGGATTCCCAACTTGAACCTCGGGAGCCCCTGAACCCCAATGAAGATCGGGCCGAGCGGCGAAGCCCAATACAGGAACACCGGAGGTGGGCTCAAATATTTCTTTTTCCAGCCATTCGAAAAATCTTTGCTGTTGTTTTCTACGATTCAATATTGGTATGTTCAGCAGAGTTAATAATGCACCATTGATCTTGAATGATGATATCAGCAAACGATTGTACATCGTCAACAGACGTCGGTTAATTTGTTGGCGGAGGTGCTTGTGGTGTAGGACTTTCGCCAATTTCCCTGGGCCGTTTGCACGATAGAACCTTGCGATGGGAATGTGCGGGTGCTTGTCGATCGAAACACTCCGGCTGGAGTGATAGTCCTCTGAATGAATTGTTTCGCGAAACTTTTTGCTAAATTTACTAAGGAGTTCTTCAATAACCTGGTTGTTGGATAGAAAACCTGCTACGTTGTTGTTTGACAGCTCAAGACTTGTCCGATACGATGACCGACTGCTCTGTGGATCATGTGCAAATCCTTGTTTATAGTCACTAGCAGGCAAGAGTCGCCTTATTCTATTCCCAACTACCTGGTCAACCGCGACAAAGGAGTCTTGGAACCCAGAGTGGTCTGGGGTAAACGCACTTTCGGCTGCAAACCTTGGCTTGATAAGATCTATAGGCATGACAGAGCGTTTGAATTACTATTTTTATCTCAAAATTTAACCAGCCAAGAGGCGCTTTTTTACCTGTGCTTATTGATCCACTATCAGCATACGATAGACAAGCACGGGGTTCAGGTGGGCTGAGGCTTGAAAGTTGAACCGAGTGGAATTTCCGTTTCCCAAGGAGACTTTCTGCCGCGCTCGGAATTGGAGGAGTTGCCGGTTCTGTGAATGACAAGGCTTCTTCGGAGGTTTCCTCCGGCATCAAGTTCAAGTCAATGTCAGGCCGTGGGGCCAAAACTAGGACGGAGCACCACAGGAGCTGAAATTGGAAGGAACGAAGCTGAAGCATCGCGAGATAGACCATTTGAAAGCAGAAAAGAAACAATCAGTCGGGCGAATGGCTTACAAAGTGCTTGGAATTAATTGATCACACAAGGGAAATGCTTTATACATTATATGGACAACAAGGTTGCTTCTTTGAATTGCGTCTCGGGTGTTTCAGGTCGCGTTTAGCACCGTTGATGGGACATGTGGCCAACTGCAAACAAAAGTCAATCCCCGATACTTTTAAACAAGAGTCGGAGAAGCTGGCTTCACCAGTTCAGTAAGGTTTACTATATCCTATCTATGTAGCTGGGTCCTAGGGAAGGTCCTGGACAGAAGCCCACATGGATACAAAACTTGGAGTCAATCTTGTGCACAAGAGACTGCGGCTATTTCTGGTTCGGATGAGCACTGAGCTGCGAGATGTTGATGATGCACTTACACAAGGGAGTCATGTCATACATACTGTGCCGGAGGCAGGGCGTTCGGAGGTTCTCTGCGGGATCGTCCCCCCTCCAACCGTCATGAGGGCCTCACTGCCTCACTGGTACTTGAGACTAAAAGATAGCATTGCATCTGGAATCGATTTGCCCCTGCCTGAAGATTGGGTCGAAGACTGTCGAAGATCGATGTACGCAAACTTTATCAGTCTATCTTCCAAGCTGGCAATGTTAACTGGGGCTCCAGAAGACCATGACCTTCCTAGCAAGGAGTGGTGAGACCTGCCGCATTGCAAGAGTCCCTCTCGGCTCGGATGCAACAAGTGTTTCACCACTCCATAAGTAGGAGGGAGGGCTTTCTGGAGTCCCATGTGCAAAAAACATGGAGAAACCCATGGAGTAACATATTCAAAACTCCACAAGAGTTGTAGAAACTTGAACATGGGACTAGATGCAGAAGAACCAGTATGCGCACATTCTTCTGAAATTATGTAAATTGGCATGACAAAATGGCAGAAGAGATATTAGTGCTTGGATTACAAAACATAAAATGAATTTAACCTGGGGCACAAATTCAAACTAAAGGTGTATGTCCCTCTGTTTGATTTGGAAGGTGCCTGTGGGATAACACCCTCCTCCAAGAAAGAGATAATTGAATAGGTTCAGAGAAGACATCAGTGAAAGCAAATTTAATCCATTTAATAGTAGAGAGCTACATTCAAATGTGACTGTGAGTTGACCTAGGTCACAAGTACATCTGGGAATTCAGTTAAAGCTTACCTCAAATGATTTGAAACCTGTGCAGTTATATCAACTGTTGTTGAAGTGAAGATTAGTCCAAATAAGATCAGGTAAGACAGAGGACAAATCTGGGGTTTGTGGCAACACATGGAGTTTTTTTTTTCTCTTTGGATCAATAGTTATTATCATCAAACTTAAATTGAGAAGTGGAACTTACCCACAAACTGCATGGCATTGACAACCAGCTCTTACAGGGTTGGCTAAGGGTAAAATTCCTGAGAACAAAGCATCAAAATTCAGACCCATTTCTTTCACAGGTTGGGTTCAGAAAGCGCTTCTGCAATTGGGCCAACTATTCTCATATGAAAATTTGGAAACCAGAGAGCAGAGGTGACCTGAATAGATAATTGGCTGACCCAAAAATCCACCAAAGTGTGCAAGGGTATAGCAAGATATTCACATCCATATTCTGACCTTAGAGTGATCATCCTTAGAGAGCTGGTATATTCTGGTTGGACAGGAATGATCCTCGTGAACCTGATTCACAAATTATAAGCAGTCACATCTCATCTTTACTTCTCCTTTCTCTACCTTACTTCTGCTTGTCTCAAGGTTTTTTTTGAGGTTATATTTTATCAACCTGACACTGCTTGACATAATATTTCCTTGCTTCCCTTAAGATAGGAAATCAACTTAATTGGAATCCTAATTAGTTACACCTAGCATTTGAAACCACAAACCTTGTTGTTCTGTTTTCTGACCTGTTATTTTTGGCACTTTTTTTTCCCTCCAATTAAGAATAGTCATGACCATATTCTGTCAACATATTTTTTTATGGGCCACAAACAAATGAGGCCATGATTCATGAGAATTTCTTTTTTTGTGAAATGGCACAGCAGAGCCAGCCCTAGATTTCATACCTGTCAGTATACAAGGAGGCCAGAATCACCCTTCTGATAGGCTGTTGTATCCATATATTATGAGTAGGTTTCTCAAGAAAGATGCCCTTTGTTTCATTCCATTGCTTTTCTCTTTGTTCATTTGTATTTGATTATCCTCAAGGAATATTCATAGAAGTTCCCTCAAATCCTCAGTGTTTTGTAGTAGTAACCCAAGAGAGACAAAATGTATGTATATGTGTAGGATTTCAAAGGAAGGAGGGGTCTGAGAAGCCTCACACACACACCACACATCAAGTCCATGGATTCACAGTTCCTTGGCTCTCTTGCTCCTCTCTTCTCCATTTCCATTGGCATGATTCAAAGTTGAACTATTGTAAGTCTGTCCAAGATAACAAAGAAGAAAAAAGAAACTCATAAGGAACTCTAGTAGCAGCAAATCTCAAAAAAGATAAAGAGGAACAAAAGCAAAAAGAAGACAGAAGTGGATTATGAATCTCAAAAGGTATATATATTTTGGTGATAGAGTGTGTAAATTTTGTACTTGTTAGTGTTGATATAAATGGAAAGAAAAGAAGAAGAAGAAAAAAACACCGGCAATCAGTCTACTTTGGGGTAAATGAAAAGGGAATAGTTATAAGTAAAAAACAATCAATAAAACATATGCAATTTTTTGGGGAGAGAGAGAGGAAGATTAGGAGTGATTATTGGAAGATCTTGTAGTAGGGAGGAGGGGGTCGAAACCCGTCGAGACCGACTGGCCTCAAATTGGTAATTGAATATCCCATCCCAAGCCAAGAAAGAGGAGACCAAATAAAAGGGCGGGTATAGGTTACAAGGTGCCAAAGCTATGTTGGCACAAAGAAGTAGGGGTCTGGATGGGGGGGGGGGGGGACGATACAAGCAAAAGAGAGGAATTTTGATCAGACAAGAGGTTTATAAAGAGGGAAGATTAAGAGGAGGAAGGGGCAGTTGGGAAGAAGCGATCAAGGGAGCTATTGGCGAGGAGGCCGAGTTCTTCGAGAGACCAACGATGGTCGAGCCTGTTGATATGAGAGAAGAAGAGGTTGTGCGGGGGGAACAGGGCGAGTTTTTGGAGGCGACGGAAGCCCTGTTGGGCGAACGGAAGCGGGAAGTACGGGTCCTCGGCCCCATGCAGCCAGTGCAGGATCGTCTGGCGCCTGATCCCCGTCTCCGTTATTGGCCGGCTGAAAATCGCTTCTAGTTGGTCCGGCATCGGCAGGAATCCCGACTGTGAAGCATATATATATACAGACGCTCAATGTCTCAATCATCTCGTTCTGCAATCTATGGATCAATAGAACTGTGGAGGAGCTTCTTGCGTACCAGCATGATCACTCCCGCCGGGGGTCGGTCTAGGGTGAGTCCAAGAAGAAGAGACATCACCGCACCTGCAGACAACGCGAAGGGTCTCAATGTCTGTATATTTTGTGCGGAGAAGGGATGGAGGAGGACGGACCTTGACTGAAGCCGGCAATGATAGTGCGACTCAAGTCGAGCTGAAGAAGGTTGATGATATGGACGAGTCGACGGACGTTATTTTCCATATGGAGGACATCCTCGTCCCGATGGATGTCCGACCAATTTCTGATATCGAACCAAGCGGGCCGAGGGAGTCCTGGAAACACGGTTACGGGGAGGGCGTCGGCGGCGGGGATGACGAAGCTCATGGGCTCGAACAGGGCGGGACGGAGGGTGAGGAGGGCCTCGCGGAGACGGAAGGAGTCCGAGGCCTGGTGGTCGCCCAAGCCATGGAGCAACAGACAGGTCCAATTGTTGGGGCCTTTGATGGCCGGAAGACGCGTGTACTCGAGCGGCTCGATGGGGCCTGCAGGATATTCAACTTCCAGCCAGCCGCGAGCTGGCGAGCTCTCGTTGAGAAGCGTCCGGGGTGATCTGGGGTCCTGAATGACTCGAGTGCCCCCTCGCAAGTCGTGGTTGAGTAAGAACAGCGACGGCTGGTACTCCAGGTAGAGATGGAATAGCATCAGTGAGGCCATCACGCCGGCACCGATCAGGGTCGCCCGGAGCGAAGGCTTGGTGTGGATGCCGGGGGTCATCTTTCTGGCTCCGGTCGGCTGTGTATATGTACTGTTCCGGGCGCACGGCGTTTCGGGACTTGGACTGTACGGTGCTGTAGGCGACCGGGCTCGGCCGGTGGTGTTCAGGATGAGAAATGGCGGGGATGGAAAATGTTCTAATCAGCTCCTTTCTCCAAGCAGTTCTTCGAGCTCTGGTATGTATGTTCAAGGATACAAAGTCTGGCGGCCAGGAGTCGGTCCCATGGGTCTTGGTTGGGATGGAAGCACCAAAATAAACAAGCTTATAATTTCATCACATTTACATAGGATTCTCCCTGGGAAACTTTGGGGAATCGTTTCCATCGTTGCCCTCGGCCAAACAAACACCCTCAAAACAGCAGCTCGAGACTTGAGCTAACAATGCAACTCTCTCTATACATATATTCTGAACTGGGGGGGAACCCCTGCGCTGATGATCGACTTGACAGACAAAATCATCATCACTTGTTCCTTCGATCAGTCAGAACTGATCTCAACGTCCATCCTACTTGCAATGAGGTCATACCTTTGAAACCATGAACTCATCAAACATCTGACACCAATCAAGGATCCCTACATACAAATGAGAAAGGAACCAGTTCAGATCATGGAGGAGCAACACCAAGTCTGTCACTTTGGCTCAACATGAGGCCATGAGCACTGTTAGTGCTACTTTGGAGTATTTCCTGAACGTGTATGGTGCATACTTGTTGACTGCAGGATGGACCTCTGGCTTGGATTCCAGCTACATAAAGTGCAAATCAACTTAATCCAAGAAACTCTATCTGGTACATGCAGCTTGACACAGCCTACATAAATACTGTGTGCACCAAAGGATAACATCAATATTCACATCCAGACCTTCAAAAGTTTACTTTGGCAGGGGTCAGTTTGGCCCTGGGTATTTATGTGTAGGCCACAAACCCCATTGGTGGCACCTGATAGAGACAAGTACACAGAAACAAAGAGGGCTAGAAGGTCTAGGATCCCCTGTGAAGAGTATGTAGTAATGATAATTAGGCCATCAATATTTACAGGTTTTTGTTTTTGAAAGTGACAAGAATTGTATGGTATGTAGAATCACTAGCTGCTAAAAGTGAAGAAAAACAGGATTTATTATTGAAACTAGAACCAGAACTATTAATAAAAGAAACACAATTTGTTAGAAGAATTTCAACAGAAAAAGAAAAAGCAATAAAAACAATCAATGATTTCTGAGAAACAGGAGGAAATTTACCACGAGAAGATTTGTTTTTTGAGTTAGACAGAACTGAAAGACTGAAGTAGATGATATCAAACAATGATATATAATAGACACTATTTTTAGAAGGAATTTTAATGAGAGGAAAAAAAGTCAACACGAGTCAATTTTGAGAAGAAAGTATACTATAGTTTTTCTCACCAAATTGGCAAAAGCCAGATGAGAATTTCAAGCAAGAGAGTTGGAGGAATGAGAATAAGAGGAGGATGAGTCGATGTTGAAATGATGTGAATTCGTCGTCGATGAGATTGTGCGAGTAGATTTATGAGAGAGAGAAGATAGAGAAATAGTGAGGAA